GCCCCAAGTGTTGGATTTTCTCTCGACTATTTATATATATGGGTCAGTGATGCATTGTGGGTAATCCATTCTGGCAGTTATTTTGGTGGGAGTGGCTTATTTATTCATTTATTTATTTATTTATTTGGGTTAATTTATTTTACTTGTGTTTTATTTTCATTTTTATTTTATATATTTATTTATTCTTTTCAGTTTTCAATGTTTTATTAAAGTAGTAAAAACATTGGGAGGGATTTGCTTAGGTCACTTATTTAATAGTTTGTTTTGGTTTGGGAAGATAAAGTTATTCAATTTTTGGATTGATTGCCATAGTCTATTCTGCTATTTTGACAGGGGGACAGTTTTTAATTTGTTTATTATTTTATTTACTTATTTATTTAGATTGATTATTTTTTCTTGTTTTTGATTATTTATGTTTGTTTTTATTAATTCTAATGGTTATTTTAGCAGTAGCAATTTGTTGATTTGATCATTTATTTATTTATTTGGATTAATTTTTACTTGTTTTTTTCTTATTTGCTTATTTTTTATTTTGTATATTTTTATTTACTCTATTCAGTTTTCAATTTTTGAGTAAGGTAGTAAATTTTTTTATCATTATATAGCAGTTATAGCTATTAATTTGTTTATTGTTTACTTTATTTATTTATTTGGTTGATTATTTTTATTTGTATTTTATGTATTTATTTTTATTTCTTCTATTTCATCTATTCTAACAAGAGTGGTCTGTTAATTTGTTTATTATTTGCTCGGGTTAATTTATTTTAAATTGTTTTTATATTATTTTGTTTATTTTTATTTATTCTTTTCAGTTTTTGGTTTTTAAGTAACATAGTAAAAATTTGTTTTCAAGTCTGCATATTGAGATGAGCTCAGATCATTTATTTAGTAATTTATTTTGGTCTGGGAAGGTAATAATATCTTTTTTTTCCTCCAAGCAAATCAAATACAAAAATATATATATATATATATATAGAGAGAGAGAGGCTTATCCCTTGTTTCCTTTTTAGGATTTGGTTTCCAGTTCCTACAAAAATCTTCTTCAGTTCTATACTTCTGGCATCTTAATTCAAAAACTTATTTACTAGTTATTAGTTTCTTGTTTTTATTCAACAGGAGTAGATAGATTTGCCTATGATCTGTGTCACATTTCTCCCCGATCTTTTGAACAAAAGTAGAAGTTTATCCATTCTTTCCTGTTTGGAACTGGGTTTTGGTTCCTTCTAAAGTTTTTTGACTTTCTTTCACTATCAGTAGCTTCTTGCATCTTAGTATCTTTATCACCTTGCTGGGGGTGAATTGATTAAAAAAGAAGGGTGTTTGCCTTTTGTTATCTTTTTTTCTTAGTTTGTTTTTTTACTCGTTGTTGTATAGGTTTTCTTGATTTTTGTTGATAGTAATTTTTCTTTTTTTTTTTTATTTTCTTTTGGTCACCTGCATGGTTTTCTGCTGTACTAACACTTTGAAATTTGGTGGTGTGTATGTATATATATATATATATATATATATATATATATATATATTACTTCAAACATTATTATAGTGGCTACTTGTAACATTTGAGGTAATAAAAACATTAAATTATAAATATATCCATGGATTCTTTATATATATATATATAATGTTGAAATAAGCTTATTCCCCATAGGAGGTAATTTTGGATTTTATTGTGTCCTAATTATTTGCTTTGTAATAATAAATACATTGAGCTCATTTTGGGGATCAGTTTTAATATTTTATATTACTTGTATCCAGTTGGATTATATACCTTTACTATATATATATATATATATATATATATATATATATATATATATATATATATATATATATATATATATATATATATATATATATATATATATATATAAATACATTTACATATATATATATATATATATATATATATATATATATAAATATAAATACTTTTTACTATATATATATATATATATATATAATATATAAATACACTTTTACTATATATATATATATAGTAATATATATGTACCTATATATATATATATATATATATATTGCTTTCAGCAAACTTTGCCATCACTTGTGGGATGAGCAGGGTATCTGACTGGATAAGAAAATTCGGGTTTACAGAGCTGTTCTCCTTGCGATCCTTTTGTATAGAGTTGTGTACCATATATCCCAGCTGGATGTTTTCCATAAGAACTGTCTGTATGCCATTTGTAGAGGTAGCCTTCAATACAGGACATCCATAGATCTGTTTAACAGGTGCAATATTGGAGGAATTGAGACTTTCCTCATACAGTCTCAGTTGCAGTGGATTAGACATGTCTTGAGAATGCCTGATGACTAAAGATTCTAATGTACAGCCAGTTAGATCAGGGCTACAGGAATGTAGGATGCCCATAGCTTAGATACAAAGACAAGCTGAAGAGCAACTTATCAGGAGTCAATATACCTCATAACATCCTCAAGTGCTTAGCCTTGGAGCAGGTAGTGTTTAGATCAATGTGTTTTAGTGGACTCAGCAGTTTTCAATCTGCTAGTCTGGATCATCTTCAAGAAGCGAGAACAAATTCTAAATGGTCAGCCAATCTAACAGTGATCTCATTCCACAATCCTCGCTCTTGCTCTATATGCAGTTTCCTTTGCAAATCACTATCGAGTCTTAAGTGTCACTTAAGATTATTGCACAAAATTCATAACTGAATCAATTGGTTAAGTTGTCCGATCTTCATACATCAAAACTGATGTGAGAGTCCATTATATATATATATATATATATATATAAAATAGCAAAGAAAGACTGTCCATGAATACTTCTTATAATATGTAGATTTTATACTATATAGATATACTTAGCAATTACATTTTCCCCTAAAAGCCATCTGCAGCCATAATCATGGTAAATAACTAGACCCAAACCACTAGATTTCATCAGTAATATAACACATGCAAAAAAAAAGTTAGCTTAAAAATCTTAACTTCATTCTAAAAGGACATAAGCAAAATCTGAAAATTCTGATTTTTAACATCTTTTTTCATTATGCTTCTATTTGGTATAAAGACCTAATAATATACAATATTCTTATACTTATCATCATTTTTGTTATTTTTTATCTCTTAAATTTCTTTCAACAGCCTATATATATATATATATATATATATATATATATATATATATATACACACACACACAAACATGCAGTGTGTAATGGATAAATTGTTGTCAAAATTATGCTGACATCTCATTTTAACAGATATGTTTGCCAAAATTATCTTGAAATACTAAAAATTAAATTTATTGATGAAAATCATTGGCTTCAACTCCAGTCTCCAGATGACTTCAGAATCTCCTGCATCCCTTTTAGATCGTCTCTTTGTTTAAGTTGGTGAATGCTGCCATAATCCTTGCCTTCAGTTCATCTTTGATGTTACAAGGAGTTTTGCTGCTTAACTGCATTCCACATATGATAATCAAAGGGGTTGCAGTCTGGGGAGCTAAGTGGCCAGATGTAAGGGGTTATGTCAGGGGTGGCCAACCTTTTGATTCCATGTGCCAATATTTTGTACAATTAATTTAAATGCGCCACACAAACATTCATTTCCTTTCAGTACGTGTTGTAATATGGACATATTTTAAAATTATAATAAAATCTATTTATTTGAAAAATATATGCTTATGACCAGGTCCGTATCCTTTTAGCACTTTTGCAAAGGACATGCAATAAATATAAAATCACTGAAATGAATGAGTAGAAGTGGCTCAGTTTCTTTTCATCAAAAGGATATGAATGCGCCACTTGTAAGCATCCAATGCGGCACTTATGGTTGGCCATCCTTGGGTTATGTGGTTGCAGAAATTCTCTGACAGCTATGACTGGATTCTCCTGCTTGTTTGTCATGGTGCAGAGTCCTGTTGCCAGACACAGGGTCTTCCAGCAGCTACCCTCTTGACACAGAGCAGCACTACCTTTGCAAGGCACTTGACGTAGGCCTCTGTGTTGAGTCTGAGGCCTTATGGGAAGATGAATGGAGGCATAACATTGCCATCACTTGTGATCACTCCAAACACCTTCATCATCGCCATAAGACTCATCTAACTCTTTCTGAATCCTCTGGACTGTCCTCAGATTGACACCCAAACACTCTGAAATATTCGTATTGAAATTTTTGGCATGAATGCCAAGCAGTACATCATGCTGTTTCCAAATTTCTGGCAAAGTGAATTGTCTCAGGGTGCTCTTTTTCTCACAAATGGTGCCCAACTGACCCTACTATGCTGTGCAGTTGACCAATTCAAAAATAAACAATGTACATGCACAAAATTAAAAATATAAAATGAGGACAATTTACCCATCGCACTGTGTATATATAACATATATTTTGGCAACAAGCATTCATAAAAACAAGTTTGATTAAAGGTAACCAACAAGGTCTGTTTGTTTAATTTCTTATTATATGTTGCAACCTAGGGAAGGTTACTGAATAGAATAATCAAGCAAAGGTTGGTAATGAATGATAATACTTAGGACAAGAACAACACATATAAAATTCACCAGCGGCGTGTAGAAGTAGTCAACTGAATTCCACAATGAATGTCCAACTGCAGACCAACATACAGTATTTACTACTGTATTTATGTGAATGAGGACATACACATTATCAGCTGTAGGTATGCTACAACATTATATTTTACCAATTTTCAGATAAGGTGAGCTTGAAGTTGTAGATAAACTGTCCAAAGTTCATATTTTCTTATTTTTGTTTCAGAACTTTTGACTTTTACAGTCATTATTAAATCTATTACACAGACACCACATCTGTTCTTGATATTGACTGGAAAGTCAAAATTACTTGAAGAAAAATAACAAAATATGAACTTTGTACAGTTTATCTACAACTTCAAATATAACATTCAACACCTTATACAAAAATTGGAAAAATATTATAAATATTAAACGAACGGAACATGTTGATTCTTTTTAATCAACCTTGTTTTTATATATATATATATAGTTTACAGTCAAACCATGTTGAAAACACCAGTTCTCATTTGATCACTGAAGTTAAGCAGTGTCAAGCCTGGTCAATATTTAGATGAGTGACTATCTGGGTACTCCAGGCAGTTACTGTAAGCAATATCCTATGATCCAGAATATTTAAGTTTTAAATAGTCCAGAATGGGTTGATAAGCCATAAGAAACAAATCAGTCAATCAGTCATTATATTTTTGTGTGTATGCATGTGTGCACTGTTCTAATGCATAAAATAAATCCTCTGGCCATAAACTATCTTTCTTTTTTCTTCACCTTTCCGCTTCCCATCTTCTGACTTCTGAGATAAGCCAATGATAATCATTACTATTGTCAATTAACTGACCTTTATTCTGGAAACTCTTGAAAAGACTTGGATCATCTCTTCTTGCAACTGTCCATCCAATCATTCTTCAAGACATTCTTTCCACTCTGCTCTCCACTCAACATTCAACTCAGACTCTTTGACTTTTCTTTATCAATTACCAGACAAGCAAAACCATAACTATATCCATATACTTCTTCTTCTCCGTTGTCTTGCATCTTCTTCAAAAGCAAATCAGTATTTTATGTTCATATAGACAATGAGTTTAGTTTAAGCATGTGGATAGATATGTAGGCTTATAATATGGCTGCCAAAATTTATACTAATATCAATGCATTTGTATTTCTGTAAAAGTAATTTTTATCTCATTATCGTTATTCTATATTATTCATAGCTAAATAATATTAATTAATATTATGATGTACCAACATTATTTAGTTTTTTTAATCTCAGTTTTTATTTTGCAATCAATATTTTTTAATCTTATTGCATTGACCTTATACCATATCATTACTCTCTAATTAAATAATTATAATATATAATATTATTCTATATGGCAATAAATGCTGAACAGTTTCATTACAGATGAAGAAGAGACTGACTGCAAATGGATAGAAAAAGAATTCAGTAAATATACAAAAATAGAAAGTGGCGGGCAGTGAGAAAAGGATGTGTCTTCTTACTGGACTTAATCAACCTATACAATGGGACAATTCTGAAAGAATTACAAGTCCTAACAGGCTTCATTATTGGTGGACACAGTGTTAACAACATAAGATAGGGAAATGCCACAGTGTTGAAAGCAGATATAGAAAAGAAAATACAAGAACTCTTAAAGAAGGTAATGAAAGCAAGCAAAAGGAAAGGCTTAAACATCAATTGCAAGAAGACAGAATGCATGGTTGCTAGCAAAAGGAACAGCCCAACATGCAAATTACAAATTGGAGATAGCAAAATCAAATAACTGCAACATTTGAAATATCTGGAAAGTGTTTTATCAGGATGGAAAGTAATGAAGGAAAGCAGGAGGAAAGGATTAAACATCAATTGCAAGAAGACAGAATGTATGGTTGCTAGCACAAGGAACTGCCCAACATGCAAATTACAAATTGGTGATAGCAAAATCAAACAAGTACAACAATTGAAATATCTGGGAAGTGTTTTATCAGGATGGAAGGTAATGAAGGAAAGCAGGAGGAAAGGATTAAACATCAATTGCAAGAAGACAGAATTCATGGTTTGCTAGCAAAGGAACAGCCCAACATGCAAATTACAAATTGGAGATAGCAAAATCAAACAAAAGTACAACAATTGATCTTGGATGTTTTATCAGGATGGAAGGTAATGAAGGAAAGCAGGAGGAAAAGGATTAAACATCAATTGCAAGAAGACAGAATTCATGGTTGCTAGCAAAAGGAACAGCCAACATGCAAATTAAAATTGGATAGCAAAATCAAACAAGTATAACAATTGAAATATCTGGGAAGTGTTTTATCAGGATGGAAAGGTAATGAAGGAAAGCAGGAGGAAAAGTTAAACATCAATTGCAAAGAAGACAGAATGCATGGTTGCTAGCAAAAGGAACAGCCCAACATGCAAATTACAAATTGGAGATAGCAAAATCAAATAACTACAACAATTGAAATATCTTGGAAGTGTTTTATCAGGATGGAAAGTAATGAAGGAAAGCAGGAGGAAAAGGATTAAACATCAATTGCAAGAAGACAGAATGTATGGTTGCTAGCAAAAGGAACAGCCCAACATGCAAATTACAAATTGGAATAGCAAAATCAAACAAGTACAACAATTGAAATATCTTGGGAAGTGTTTTATCAGGATGGAAGGTAATGAAGGAAAGCAGGAGGAAAGGATTAAACATCAATTGCAAGAAGACAGAATTCATGGTTGCTAGCAAAAGGAACAGCCCAACATGCAAATTACAAATTGGAGATAGCAAAATCAAACAAGTACAACAATTGAAATATCTGGAAAGTGTTTTATCAGGATGGAAAGTAATGAAGGAAAGCAGGAGGAAAAATAAATTGGATTAAACATCAATTGCAAGAAGACAGAATTCATGGTTGCTAGCAAAAAAAATTGGAACAGCCCAACATGCAAATTACAAATTGGAATATAGCAAAAATCAAACAAGTACAACAATTGAAATATCTTGGAAGTGTTTTATCAGGATGGAAAGTAATGAAGGAAAGCAGGAGGAAAGGATTAAACATCAATTGCAAGAAGACAGAATTCATGGTTGCTAGCAAAAGGAACAGCCAACATGCAAATTACAAATTGGAGATAGCAAAATCAAACAAAGTACAACAATTGAAATATCTTGGAAGTGTTTTATCAGGATGGAAGGTAATGAAGGAAAGCAGGAGGAAAGGATTAAACATCAATTGCAAAGAAGACAGAATTCATGGTTGCTAGCAAAAAGGAACAGCCCAACATGCAAAAATTACAAATTGGAATAGCAAAATCAAACAAAAGTACAACAATTGAAATATCTGGGAAGTGTTTATCAGGATGGAAAAGTAATGAAGGAAAGCAGGAGGCAAAAGGATTAAACATCAATTGCAAGAAGACAGAATACATGGTTGCTAGGAAAAGGACAGCCCAACATGGCAAATTACAAATTGGAATAGCAAAATCAAACAAGTACAACAATTGAAATATCTTGGAAGTGTTTTATCAGGATGGAAGGTAATGAAGGAAAGCAGGGAAAGGAAAACATCAATTGGAAGACAGAATTAAACATCAAATTGCAAACAAGAAGACAGAATACATGGTTGAAGGAAAGCTAGGAAAGGCTTAAACAAATTTAAGAAGACACATGGGTTTGCCCAACATGCAAATTACAAATTGGAGATAGCAAAATCAAACAAGTACAACAATTGAAATATCTTGGAAGTGTTTTATCAGGATGGAAGGTAATGAAGGAAAAGCAGGAGGAAAGGATTAAACATCAATTGCAAGAAGACAGAATTCATGGTTGCTAGCAAAAGGAACAGCCCAACATACAAATTACAAATTGGAGATAGCAAAATCAAACAAGTACAACAATTGAAATATCTGGGAAGTGTTTTATCAGGATGGAAGGTAATGAAGGAAAGCAGGAGGAAAAGGATTAAACATCAATTGCAAGAAGACAGAATTCATGGTTTGCTAGCAAAAGGAACAGCCCAACATACAAATTACAAATTGGAGATAGCAAAATCAAACAAGTACAACAATTGAAATATCTGGGAAGTTTTTATCAGGATGGAAGGTAATGAAGGAAAGCAGGAGGAAAAGGATTAAACATCAATTGCAAGAAGACAGAATTCATGGTTTACTAAAAAAGGAACAGCCCAACATGCAAATTACAAATTGGAATATAAAATCAAACAAAGTATCTTGGAAGTGTTTATCAGGATGGAAGGTAATGAAGGAAAGCAGGAGGAAAGGATTAAACATCAATTGCAAGAAGACAGAATACATAGTTTGCTAAAAGGAACAGCCAACATGCAAATTACAAATTGGAGATAGCAAAATCAAACAAGTACAACAATTGAAATATCTGGGAAGTGTTTTATCAGGATGGAAGGTAATGAAAAGAAAGCAGGAGGAAAAGGATTAAACATCAATTGCAAACAAGACAGAATGCATGGATGTTTGCTAAACAAAAAAACAGCCCAACATGCAAATTACAAATTGGAGATAGCAAAATCAAACAAGTACAACAATTGAAATATCTGGGAAGTGTTTTATCAGGATGGAAGGTAATGAAGGAAAGAAAGCATCAATTGGAGAATGCATAGTTGCTAAAAGAACAATAACATACAAATTACAAATTGGAGATAGCAAAATAAACATCAATTGCAAGAAGGACAGGAATTCATCAATTGCAAGAAGACAGAATTCATGGTTGCTAGCAAAAGGAACAGCCCAACATGCAAATTACAAATTGGAGATAGCAAAATCAAACAAGTACAACAATTGAAATATCTGGGAAGTGTTTTATCAGGATGGAAGGTAATGAAGGAAAGCAGGAGGAAAGGATTAAACATCAATTGCAAGAAGACAGAATTCATGGTTGCTAGCAAAAGGAACAGCCCAACATGCAAATTACAAATTGGAGATAGCAAAATCAAACAAGTACAACAATTGAAATATCTGGGAAGTGTTTTATCAGGATGGAAAGTAATGAAGGAAAGCAGGAGGAAAAGGATTAAACATCAATTGCAAGAAGACAGAATTCATGGTTGCTAGCAAAAAGGAACAACCCAACATGCAAATTACAAATTGGAGATAGCAAAATCAAACAAGTACAACAATTGAAATATCTTGGAAGTGTTTTATCAGGATGGAAGGTAATGAAGGAAAGCAGGAGGAAAGGATTAAACATCAATTGCAAGAAGACAGAATTCATGGTTGCTAGCAAAAAAAACAATAACATGCAAATTACAAATTGGAGATAGCAAAATCAAACAAGTACAACAATTGAAATATCTGGGAAGTGTTTTATCAGGATGGAAGGTAATGAAGGAAAGCAGGAGGAAAGGATTAAACATCAATTGCAAACAGAATACATGGTTGCTAGCAAAAAGGAACAGCCCAACATGCAAATTACAAATTGGTTCAAACAAGCTAGAAATATCTGGGAAGTGTTTTATCAGGATGGAAGGTAATGAAGGAAAGCAGGAGGAAAGGATTAAACATCAATTGCAAGAAGACAGAATGGTTGCAAAAAAAAAACAGCCCAACATGCAAATTACAAATTGGAGA